AAAACATCTGTCAAAAAACCGTTGTAGAGTATTGAGTTCGGCTGGAGAAGAACCGTAGACGGACAGGTCAAACGTTATAGTAGATATTACTAGGATCTTAAATAGATAATCTATCTCACATTGGCTATAGCCTTCTGCCCTGAGTGTTCGTATAACGTACAAGCATTTGTTTGCTTTGACCAATTTACCTCGCACATGACTGGTGAACTTGAGATTGTCTTGAAAAGTAGTACCTAAAATGGGAAGTTCTTTGCATTGGGGTATATTATAAACAATGTCAAGTTGATCATTATATCCCTTCTTCCGGATGATAAGCTCTTTACATTTACCAGGGTTACAAGTCATAAAGTTATCATCAGACCAGCTCAGGAATTGTCCAACTGTATCTGTTGATGTATCAGCACCCTCACTCCAAACTGGCACTATTATATTTGAATCGTCCGCATATTTAAAAAGAGCGTTCTCGCCGTCTATGTCCACCTCTAAATCATTTAGGAAAATATTAAAAAGGTAGGGGCCACTTACGCTCCCCTGTGTTGTACCCTTATTAACATCCCTCCATTCTTCACAAAAATCGTTACAAACGACTCTTTGCTTTCTATTCTTTAGAAAATTTAAATACCAATTTATGATATAAGGGTTGAGTGGCACAGTTTTTAACTTTTCCGAGAGGAGTGAATGTTTCACTGAGTCAAAAGCCTTGCTAAAATCCATAGAAAACAGTCTGCTTTGCAGTCCGCTCTATCTAAGAAGCTGAGTACTTTGTTCTGAATAGTTAACAGAACGTTTGTACAACTCCCCCCCTGCCTGTACGCAAATTGCGTTGGGGATAAAATTTCCTCAACTGTCGACTTGACCTGATATTATAAACGAGCTTTTCGAAGGTCCTCGCAATTACAGGTGTAATATTTATTCCACGAAAGTCGCCATCTTCCTTTGGTAAATCAACCTTTGCAAGAGGGTTAATATTCGCTCTTTTCCATGAATCTGGCCAAGTATGTGATGAAAGGGACAAATTCCAGACGTTAGTTATAACTTCGGTTAGAATTTCCGCATGATCATTCCAAACCCAATAGGGAATATAAACGGGACCTGTTGCTGTCCTCTTTATTCTTTTCAAGGCATTCCATACCTGCTGTTCCGTAAAGCTAGGAATATCTACTTCATCACCAATAATTGAGAGCGTCGGTTCGACATAACTATCATCGTGGCAGAGTTCGCCAAAGTAGCGATTTAATCTTGTAAGTGATGCATTATCTAAAGTAACTCTTGATGACGATGCATTTCGCTGAGAAATATCAGTCGTCTTTCTCCACCAAGTTCTACTTCCCACCAAGGCCCTAAAATTTCTTCTGTTTTGACAAATGACATCAGAAATCCTTTTGTTAATTAAACTGAGTCTATCCTTTTGCGACCGAGCAATTCTGGATTTAGATTTTAGCAAAGATTTAATTAAAGGACTCGTCCAGTAAGGGTCACGTGACGAAATTGAGACTGTTTTTGTGGGCATACATTTATTCATATGATACATGATCTTACGTTCAAGACAATTCACAGCGTCATTTACATTCGTGGACTGCGATACATCCTCCCAATCTTCTTCTGCTAAAGCTTTGTGGAAATCTTCCTTTCGATGCTTTCTACAATCCCGAAATTCAACCTTTCGGCGCATAGGTATTAGTTTTGTTCCTGCTGGTAAAATAACCCCCATGTGGTCTGTTTTAGTTAACATGTGGAAAGGATAACATTTTGAGAACAAATCTATTCTATTTGTAAGGCAGTTATCCAAACATGCGTTACCCCTTGTTGAAAAGTCGACCATTGCATCCCATCCTGATAGTTCCTCAAGATGTTTTATGTCCAAACTGTTCAAATCCCCTCCACAAACAATTACAGTGTCTGGATATTTGTCCAGAACGTCGTCAGAAATATTTATCAAATAATCCAATAAGTCGCTCTCCAGATAATTGTGCCTAGGTGGGTGATAAAGGCCATATATCGACATGCGGTTTCCTGTAGGTAACAGAAGTGTGACACCAATAAGTTCGTACAAACTGGATCGATAAATATCAATAAATTTTAAGTTGTTCCGAACATATATTGCTACCCCTCCTTTAATTTTGCTCTCATATCGCGTCCTTCCCAACTTCTATCTCTTCTGAATATTGAATAATTGTGAATGGTCACCACAGCATCTGGTATTTCAGGTTTCAGGTGACTCTCGCTCACCACACATACATCTATATCGTTATTGACCAAGTCTGCCTCCAGTGCAACTACATTTCAATGTCATTTGAGGACCTTTATACCAACTTCACCTGGAATTGTTTAATTAAGGAAAGCTAATAAAGGGTGAACTTTATTTTCATACAAGAGTTTTCAAATGACGTCACAAAAACGCGAGGTTGGGGTAGGGTTCGGTTTGGGGCAGAGTCGCACTGGGGGTGTGGGTAGGCCAGGGCATGTGGGGACTCTTATATGAAACGTCGACCAGAATAATGGTAGAAACTTTTCACGATGTATTTAAAATGGGGAATGTCAATTAATGCGTAAATTACGCCTATAAGGTATAGTGTGAAGATATAGTTGGGAATCGAAATTGTCAAATATATACTAATGGAATTGCTGTGCATTACACGGAAGAGAAGCCATAGAAACAAGACAATTCGTCATGTTTCTGGTTTTCTGCTAATAAATGGCAGTAATTGTTGCACGATTAAACTGTTTATGACGGAAAGTGCTAAATTAGCAATGACTCTATTTTATCTCGCTTACCTCGCTGTAACGTTTACCTGATGATGATGATGATGATTTTATTGATCCATCTTTAGTTTAAAAATACAATGGATTTACAAATATGTTTATTAAAAGAGAAGAGCATAACTAAGCATGCAATAATATTTACAAATTATATAAAATTTATATATATACAATTTGGAGTAAAAAATTTAAAAGTCTAGGAAATTATTTAAAAAGTTAATAAAAACCAAGTTTGGTTTTAGTGCAACCCCTGTCTCATTGCTCGTGGGACAAAACTATTTCTGTGTCGTTCAGTGCCTGAGAAAGGTGCGTATTTAAATATACCGTCTCTACGCCTAAGATTATAGTTATGTTTATTATGTTCCATAGTTCGTTGATAAAAGATATGACTTGGATCACCTAAGATGTTAACGAGTTCCCTCGATGTGGCTTCAATTCTTTTCTCTTCGAGAGTTGGCAGGTAACCATGCGGGAGGCCAATAATTCGTAGACTCCTCCTTTGCACACGTTCCAATTCGTCCTTTAGATATCGTGGCAGACCACCCCACACTGGAGAACAATATTCAAGGATAGGTCTGATTTTAGTTAAATAAGTGGTGAGACCCACTTCGACTGGTAGATTCGCTCTTCTACATTCTCGTAGGAAGTGCAGGTTTTTAGCTGCTTTGCGGGTGGTCTCCTCGACATGTTTATTCAATTTCAGGTCCTTTTGGAACCAGGTTCCCAACAGTTTAAAATTATCGACTCTTTCTATGATAGCATCTCCTATATGCAGTGGTAGAGGGGGCGGTGCTTCGGTGAAGTTAATCCACATATCTTTTGTCTTTTTGGCATTCAGTTCCATTTTATTTTCCACAGCCCAACTTTGTACTGAGTCCAGAGCGCTTTGCAAATCGCTAGATTCTCCTAATCTTATGGACGTATCCATGGTGCAATCGTCCGCATATTTGATTGTGTTGACACATGCCTGTTCAGAAACATTTTCCTCCATATCGTTAATATGTATGTTGAATAGGGTCGGCGAGATAGCAGATCCCTGAGGGACGCCGGCTGGGCATGATGCAGTAAAGGATAGTACACCTTGGAGATTTACCTGTTGTGTTCTTCCCTCCAGAAAACTCATTATCCATAACCAGAAACTCCTTGTTACATTCATATCAGCAAGCTTGTCCAGAAGGATCTTATGGTCGACCAAGTCAAACGCCTTCCGGAAATCAACAAATAGGGCGTGGACACCTTGTCTACCGGTTGAGGAGTTGTCCGTTGAGTCGAACCAGTTCTGAGATATGGAGGTAAGGGCAGACACGGTGGAGTGACCGCTCGTAAAGGCGTGCTGGTTTGTTTTGATCTGGAAACTGGATTTATTGAGTTGCAGCTGTAGCTTCTCGATAACTTTTGCTAGTTGTGGTAGCACGGAAATTTGGCGTAAGTCATTATCTAGGTCTGTGGGTGGACGGATCTTTGGTATGGGACTAATGATTGCATGCTTGTAGGAGGTGGGATATTTGCATTGAACTATGCTTGCAACCACAATATTGTGGTCCACTGGTGCTAATTCTTCTGCGTACCGTTTAAGACACCATGCAGGGATATTATCCGACCCAGTGGCTTTCCTAGGATTTAGGTGTTTTAGGACGGTTTTGACTTGGCCAATGGATGGTAGAGGTGGGTGGCTGTCCTTGAGCAAATGCTCTACCGCTTGAAGTCTGGGAAGATCTGGTTGAATTCCTAGCCAAGGCTTAGTAAAACTTCTTTGTAGTCTGTCAGCGATTTCCATTAGGTCAGCGTGGTCAGGCGAGGACAGAGATTGTTGATTTTCGGTTACTGCCGCTAGCTTGTAAATCGTTTTATACCATTTGGCGGGATTGGATTGATGGTTGCCTTCAGCCTTGGATTTGTAGTACGTAGCTTTAGCGTTGGATATCAGCTTGGTAACTTTTGCATGTAAACTTTTATACTTCGGTGTCTCCCCTTTCGTAAATGCTCTCTGTCTTGCTTTTATCAACGCCTTAATATTGGGGGTCATTCACGGTTTGTCCGTACAGTGTGCGCGAACTGTTCTCACGGGTAAGGCTTCATCAAGCATACAGATAACGATATAGTTAAAGACTGAGACCTTGTCGTCCACATCCCATTCGGAATATCCTTGATACTATCGTTGTTGAAAACAGACTTAAAGCATCTGCTCAGTCCAAATCTTATTGAACACAGCGAATTTTTTGTGTATTCTGACCCATCTTTTTTTCTCACTTCAGCATAAAAGCTTTTGAGAACCGAAGCAAGTTCTTCGCTATTCTCTGGATGGTCAAGCTTCTTTTCTCGCAGATACTCTTCAAAAATCGCTTTGCTTGCTTTTGTAGCTTTTTGTGTTTACTGAGTCTTTTTCTTCCAGCAATTTTTTTATTTCAGCTTCCCCAAGATCGGCGAACCTTTCCTTTGAGGAAGCCATTTGTATTTTCCCGCTTTTGGCATATAAGCAGCATAAATTAGTGTGACGTCATAATGTCGTATATGTGTTTTCAATATACGACCAAATTACGTCATAATGTCGTATATTACCGAACGGATATGACGATTTCATCCACAGCTCTTAACCAATCAAAACTCTTGAATTACTTTCAATAAATAAATCGCCTAAAAATATCACTTTTAATTACAAAATTATCAATTTCCCAACATATATATGTTAGGTATGATATTATACGTAATATAAGCTTCAGTTTAATTGAGGTAAAATTCAACCACAAACGCTTCGTAAAACGTTTTAAAGTGTTCTTTATAAAACTAAACTGCCTTTAATCTATCATTCTATGCTTTAATTCAATCAATTGGGTACTTTACACTTTACCGTACCGCAAGCAGGGCCGTCCTCAGGGAATTCTTCAGGGGGGGGGGGGTGTAAGGTCATTTCAACCGACTGACGAACAGGGCCGCCGAGAGGTTGACGGGAGCCCGGGCGATGGACCGAGCGACGAAAGAGCGAGGTCCATGCAAAAAACAGAGGTCTGATATTTCACAGTACAGACCGAACAAGCGAGGTCAATAATCGGTTTATTATATGGCTGAACTGAGTCTGCACGTGAGCATATGCTTTTCGCGCGAATTAAATCGGCTATCGTCAGTTTCACTGGGTAACAAAATACGGTAGGCATGCATGCTCAATCAAAAACAATTTGTTTGTTTGAAATTTTATCTGTAAATTTTAATGACACACAATTGGAAAACTAAAAGGCAAAATTTTTTTCTGTTTGCAAAGCAAAAATTTCCCACCAGATGAACGACATCCGGGACACCGGTCCATATATATATATATATATATATATATATATATATATATATATATATATATATATATATATATATATATATATATATATATATATATATATATATATTCACATCAATGACAATGTGTTGACTATTAAAAACAATTCAGGTAATAATTCACGCCTTTGGATATGTTGGCTATTTTGTTAATTAAGTGCGTTGTCTTTACGAATTTCCTTAATTATAAACTTAGTATATCTCGTGCAGTATACTAATTGGATTGAATACTGAACGATTTCTCTTCGGCATGATGCGTAGTTAAGTTATTCGCACATAAGTGTGCATGCATAATTAGAACAAAAAATTGATTTCGAAAGAAAATAAAAGACAAAGAGCTCCGATTCGGTTTTTATCCTATATTTTTATCTTGACATTTATATGACTTATAGACACTACGTCTACAAGCAGGAGGTATATAGTGTTTTCAAATGGTCGTGTTAGTTCCGCACGTCCCAAATAAGACAGCTGGTATAATATTGTATAAATAGCCCATGCACTGCACGTAGTCAAACCTTTTATGTTGTAAATGGGCATTATACTTGTAAGAAACCGCGAACGGAATTAAATATGAAAAGTCAATTACCAATTTACAAGCAAAATAACTAAAATAAACCTTAAAACATATAATGAAACTATGGTATGGTTTTTCGTTTTACCTAAAAAACCCACAACAGTCTGTTTCAGTGTATATGTATATGTATATATATATATACCGGGTGGCGCAAAAAAAAGTTCACGCGTTTGATTTCGTTGCCAGAAATACGCGACACATACGCGACATATGCGAAAAGGAAAACCGAAAGTAAGGTGGAAAATTAAGCTATTACTTGAACCAGCAACCTCAGATATTGTACTTACATGGACCAATTTCGCATGTTTGATTTTGTCGATGTTACGACTTCACGAACGGTTTGTTTATGTAAAACTGGGGTTTAATTGGCGCTCACACAGACTAAACCTTAGAGAACCAACACGATTTTATACATTTTGTGAGGGAAAACCGAAAATTTGCCAATAGCGATC